TATATTATATTTACAACAGTGCTGTAATTTCAATCTGTGCAGCATCCAGAATTTTTAACATATTCTTGTTTATATATATCCAGAATGCAGAATTCTTGTATAGTGTGACTACACAGGACATATTTTTCTGTTCATGCAATAATTTCAGACACATTGTCTTTGCTTAGCCTGAAAGAATAAACAACATTTTGGACATCAGAAAGGCAAAAAGTGAACTTGTTACTTTCTTTTATAAAACGGTTCTCCATGGACAATTTTATTATCACATAGTATTAGAATATTCACACAAAAATGCAACAGTGATTCATTTTGTCTGTCATTGTCAAAGCATTTATGGAATGTGCCACAGGGTGTGTTACGAGAATGACAACAATGTACATGCTTTGTATTTTGCATAATTGTGTCTAGGCCTAAAACTTTTCTCTCACCATCAGTATCTTAATGGCATTTGGTTATATTATGGGTTTTCCTTTCACTTTAAGTGCATGAAAACATCTTAGAGCATAAATGTGAAGATGGATATGGCTTTCATTTGTGTGTTTTCCTCTCACCAACCTCTTTCAGTGTTATTCAGAGGCTCTGGCGTGATGTCAGGTCTGGGCGGGTCGGATGACAGAGAGCTGAGGCCGGTAGACTTCATCCAGCTTCAGCAGTACATTGACTGTAAGTCTGTGATGCCCACACATCCCTCCCACTCTCACTAAACGCTCGGCCTCATTACAAACCATGACTCACTCTCAGTCCTTAAGTGCGAAATGACACTTTATTCTCAGGGTCGAAAAAAACATGCCAGTCGTGTGCATCCAAGACATCTGTGAGCCCAGTTTACTTAGCATTACATGCATGCATACATTACATGCAAGTATTTTATACATGGACAACTAGTGTTGGGAAAGACTGACTGATTGATATCATTTAGATTTTGATGATGTCACTAAAATGATGTGATTATGAAAAACAAAAAGATGAAATGAAAATTATTTTTCTGGTTACACTTTATTTTAAGGTGTCCTTGTTACTGTGTAATTGTACAATAAAGTACTGACTAATATTAATTAACAACATGTACTTATTATAGGTTTAGGGATAGGAATAGGGGTTGGTTTAAGGTTGCTTGCATGTGATTATGCTTAATTTACTGTTATTACTATAATATAAGTACATGTAGCGTGTAACAAGGACACCATGTTATCACTCTTCTCACTAACATCTCTAATTTAATGGACCCTGAAAAGTGTCATGTATTGATGTTGTATATATATATATATATTGGTCAAATATGCCTTAACGCTTTGTATAAAAGCATCATCTGGTAAATGCTTATGTGTAAATGTAAATAAAATATTACAGGTGTTTCTTCATGGATATTGATCCATTTCATTCCTTAAAAAACACTTCAGAATGAACTGTGCACTGGTAAAGCATATACTATAATATATTTAGTATATAAATTTAGCATAAAAAATCTAATTAAAATAATTTTGTCAAAATACATAGGGCCATCATAGATCCTTGTCCTGGCTGGGATTTGTAAATTGCTTAAAATGTCATTCTTGCTGAAGATAATAACTGAAAAGTAGTTTGACCAACATCATGCAGGCATTATTCATAACTGGCCAATCATGGCAAGAAGGTGGGATTTACAGAAAACAGTCAAAGCAACGCAAAACTGCATTCATATAACATATGAGGACTGGAGAGACCACATCAATAGGAAAACAAAGCCAAAACCTGGACATATTAGGCAATTCAGAAATCCCAGCCAGGACATGTCCATGAATAAGAGGATATATGGTCCCCCTATTTTGAATGGCTGTCAATGGAGAAAGACATTTTTAATTTCCTGTAATTGCAGTATCTCACATTTTATTAGCAATTTAAAATAATTTTGCCAAAATACATAGGGCCATCATAGATCCTTGTCCTGGCTGGGATTTGTAAATTGCTTAAAATGTCATTCTTGCTGAAGATAATAACTGAAAAGTAGTTTGACCAACATCATGCAGGCATTATTCATAACTGGCCAATCATGGCAAGAAGGTGGGATTTACAGAAAACAGTCAAAGCAACGCAAAACTGCATTCATATAACATATGAGGACTGGAGAGACCACATCAATAGGAAAACAAAGCCAAAACCTGGACATTTTAGGCAATTCAGAAATCCCAGCCAGGACATGTCCATGAATAAGAGGATATATGGTCCCCCTATTTTGAATGGCTGTCAATGGAGAAAGACATTTTTAATTTCCTGTAATTGCAGTATCTGACCCGCAGGGGCTAACAAGGTCATGCTAAGCAGCCACACCTTGACCCCTTGCTTGCTCCATCCATGTGTCTCATGCATGATTGAGGGATTTTTATATAGTAAGGTTTTGTAGATACTTGCCCTAAGTGTGTAGTACTGAGTTCTCGCTAAGCCTGTTTTTCATGCAGAGTTGATGCAGATAGATACAGTTCATTATAAGGTGTGATGTCTGTGGTTCTTTGTGCCAAAATGTCATCTTGTCTTTTTTTTAATCTTTCTCTCTTTCTTTGCTTCCTCCCACTCGCCCTGTCTATCTCTTTGCAGACTGCAGTCTAAAAGTAAAAGATGTGTTAAAGGAATTCAATGCAGATGGCAGGTTAGCCAAGTACAGACACGGAGAGGTGAGTGAACAGACTGCCAGGGGCCAACTGTCAGCACTCTGCTTTTACAGCATCTTAGTCCAATTACCCATGAACAGATCCATCCATCTCTGTAATGTGAATCACTTCACGTCTGGTTAAGCATATCTGAGCTCATCCGCTGGACGATTCATGTAACGTGTACCTGCTTAGTCAGTGAGTGCCGTGTGTACCGATTTTAGCAGCGTGTTCCACACAAAGCTCACTGCCATTATGTGAAGCTGTAGTGGGTGGTTGCCAGGACATTTTTCTCTGCAGTTCCTATTCTCTGTGATTTTTTTAGAGCATTGCTATGCATTTACTAGGGTATTCTGGTGACCCGAGCCAAAACAGCTGATCCCCAAGTATTTATGATGCAAATTAAAGGGATTTTTCAAATCAGCTTGCAGGCAGAAATTGTCTAAGAGCACATCTCTTCAACAAGCTGCATGATTTAACCCTATAAAGCCTACTGTATCATGTTTGATATGAATTTCTAAGGCCTCTAAAATGATCAAAACTTTGCTGAAAACCTGTTGTATACAATAGTCAACATGACTTGCAGAATATGTGCTTTATAAGTACTAATAAAAAGCCAATATGTAATTAAAAGGCATGATAATAAGCAACTAGTTAATAGTGAGAATTGGTTATTTTATATTTCAGCACAATATTTCATATTTTATTAAAAGGTAAAAGGCCTTTCAATATAATACTAAAAACATCCATGTCAATAAAATGTAAAAATAACTTTTATATTGTGAGTAATATTTCAGGATGAACATTTACTGGACTGAAGCAGTATTATATTTATTTATTTTTTGAAAAATCATGTTAAAATGTAAATATAAAAATAATACATCAGACTTTTGAAGAATGTTTATTTGTACATAAGTTAATTTGTATCTCAATTATCATTGTTTTGCATTGCATATGTTTTGCCCTCCCCGACTCATATGTATATGCATTTTAAGTAGTCTGTTATACTGTTACAAAGATCTTATTGGTTTACATCACAAGCTATCAGAATTTTATCACAAAAGCCTGATGTATGAAATATGATGCAAAACATAAAATACATGTAAAAATGACATGTATATTAAAATCTAAAATGATATATATTAGATTTGAGAAAGGTTCGATAAACTGTTCCATTAAAAAGTTAACTTTACAAAGTTAACTGCTTCCAAACGCAATTGTAATAGTTAAACAACAGGAAGTTCAGTGTAAAATGGAAAGAGATTGCTCTGAAGTCGTGGGATTATAGCTCTTAAAAGATTTGCTATTCAGACATGCTCATGTTGCTCATTTAGTCCGTATACCTGATATGTGCAGTGTGCACTAGTTTTTCAGCTGACTGTGTGCTGACTTGGCTCTCAGACACTTTAAATCAATGCTTCAAGAGTTTTATTTCAGTCATTTTTGTGTTTGTCTCACTCTAAGCTTTATATTTTGCTTGTGTTGGGTGACTAAAGCAAAATAAACAACAAATTATGTCATGGAAGTCTTATGTATGTTAGTATGGGAGGAGTATCTGACTGTAACCTATCTTATATATCTCGGTTTTCCTCTTTTTACTCCATATAGAACAGCAGTATCCTGAGGGCTTTGAAGTTTGAATACAACTTGCTGGGGGTTTTTTTCCACAAATTATCTCTTTTAAAAACTAGGACAGGAACAGCAGGCACTGTTAGTAGAACTAGGATTAGGTTTGTAGTGCAGAATCTAATTGGATCTCTGTTACTTCCCCTTGAGAAGGTTCCAGATAATTTTATGAATTTATTAGTTTGCAATAATGTGTACTTTCTGAATGATCACCAAAATAGATGTTATTAAAAAGCCCAATGATATATTCCAAAAAACGTGTGATAGAGGTTTGTTTGTGCGTGTATTTTGTGTTCTTTGAATGCGTAGCAGCCTTTAATGCACCACACTCATCCGTTATTGTACAAAATTATTTGTCTTTAGTGCATTGATGAGGAAGGTTTCCGCCTCTTCCTGAAGACATATTTGGAGGTGGAGGACTTCCCAACGGATCTGTGCCAGCGGCTGTTCAGATCCTTCCAGAACTCAGAGTCAGCTAAATCAGATGAAAACAGTGGGTCATGTATATGCTTGTATATATACACATACATACATACATGCACTACCGTTCAAAAGTTGTTAATACTTAAAAATGACAGTAAAGACATTTATAATGATCTAAGATATGTCAAATAAATGCTGTTGTTTTAAACTTTTTTTTCTATTCATGAAAGAATCCTCTCATTAAGTATAATGGTTTACGCAAAAATATTAGGCAGCACAACTGTTTTCAACATTATTTTTAAAAATAATTATTTTAAATTGTAATAATAAATGACCAAATAAATGCAGCTTTGGATGAGAGACTGCTTTCAAAAATTTTGAACAATAGTGTACATGTATAGGTCCCATGTATAAGCAAATCTGTAAGTGAATCAACAAATTTAGTTACATTACTGGGAATCATATTTATTTATTTGAACCCTTTTATCAATGTTTGATTTTTATTTTTTAAAGGCACTTTTTGAGTTCAATACATATTAAGCTGGATTGATAAAATTCTGTCAAATAATTTACTAAAAACAACAAAAAACCCTCAGGATTTATTCTTTTGCTATATAAACCAATTATTTATTTTTAATAACCTTTTTTAATAATATTATTATTTTTATTTTTATTTTTAAAGCAATGTTTCAAACAATGAAACTGAAGGATTTCTTATATTCTTTGCTTTCTCTCTTAGTGGAAGTCTTTCTGAAGGATGTATCCTGTTATTTCTCTCTCCTGGAAGACGGGCAGCCCAGGGACAAACTTGAATGTAAATCTCAATTTTTTGCCACTTCGAATATCTATAATGATTGTTGCCATCTTTGCAGTACGTCTCCATGTTTTTCCCTTCACAGTTGCCTTCAGGCTCTATGACAGAGATGGCAACGGTGTCCTGGACAGTTCGGTGGGTGGTCTTAGCCTGAAATATAATCTACTTCCAATTCCTCATTATGTTGCAAAACTGAATCATCATGCTCAAATTACATCTTTCGGTAATATCTATAACTAGTCATGTTTCTGAAAAACAGGAAGTGGACCGCATTATTGCCCAGATGATGCACGCAGCAGATTACCTCGGTTGGGATGTGTCTGAACTGAGGCCTGTGAGTTGTGTTTTGTTTGTGTGTGTGTAATACTTGCAGAGAAGAAGTGAAATGCCTATGCGTTCGACAAGTTATTTTCCATCTTATCCACACCTTGCTGAAGAGACATTCCTCCTCATTTGGCATGAATCAACTTGTCATGGGGCAAAATGTATCTGACAAGATCGTTTGCATAATGTTGCTCCTTCTGATTCAAATGAAGTGATTATTTAGTTACATCATATACAGGTTACAACAGAAACACATCAATACAAAAGCATATACTTTCTCATTGCCCAATGTGCTTGTTTTCAGGTGCTGAAGGATATGATGACAGCGATTGATGCAGATAGCAGTGGAACGGTGTCGTTACAGGAATGGGTGGAGGGGGGAATGAATAACGTCCCGCTGCTGGTTTTACTGGGACTTAAGGTAGGAAAACACAAGCATAGATTCTCACAGTTTCAGATGCAGAGAGCTGCTATTTTTGGAGTTTACAAGACTGTACCTCAGATTACACTGCTCAGAAGCAAAAAGAAAACATTAAAATTAGTAGATGTATGTATTTATTACGCTCTGTCCTTCATTTTAGGTTCTGTTGCCTGGCTCAACCTCAATATAGCATACCAAAAGCCTGCTGACTTTGCACTAGTGCAAGCAACAGTGACACTTCCAACACATGCTTGCACGCACACACATAATAAGTACAACCAAAAGTATATTACCATTTTGTTTAATTAATAATTTTTTTTAATATGTTTATTTTGTTGTTTTATTTTATTTTTACCTTGGATACATTTTACAATTTTATTTTATCATCATATAAGAATTTCACATGACTATTTTATTTTATTATATATACAGTGTATATATACACTCTTAAAAATAAAGGTGCTTCACGATGCCATAGAAGAACCTTTTTATCTAAATGGTTCCATTAAAGAACCTTTAACATCTGAAGAACCTTTCTGTTTCACAAAAGGTTCTTTGTAGTGAAAGAAGGTTCTTCAGATCATAAAAAGGTAAGAAAGAGATGGTTCTTTAAAGAACCTTTGACTGAATGGTTCTTTGTGGAACCAAAAATGGTTCTTCTATGGCATCGCTTGAAGAACCTTTTGAAGCACCTTTATTTTTAAGAGTGTATAGTGTATATATATATATATATATCTAAAAATGATGTCATCATTTATCACCCTAATGTTGTTCCAAACCTGTCTGCTGTTATTTTTTGTGTGAAGCACAGGTGGAGAATTTCTGGTGAATCTTCACACGTTTTTTCCCTATTACAACAGAGGCCATAAAGGTTTTTTAACCTTCAAAAATGTTTGAAGGTTAAAAAAGAGTAGTTCACGTGACTCGGCTGATATATTTTAAGTCATACAATATCATTGTGTGATGATTCACTGCTAAACTTTCCCTCCAGTAAACGGTAACTTGAGTGAGTGAGTTGAACTTAACCAAAGCAGTGAATGAATGAGCCGATTCTTTTAATTGAACCAATTGATCCAGTTCAAAAATCAAACTGATTTGTTCATGAATCACACATGGTTCATGAATTGTGGTGCAGTCACATTAGCAGAATTTATTGTGTAAATAGTTGATCATACCAAGGAGATTTTTGTTTGTCAATGCAGCTCATTTTTACACGACTAACTTGAACCCTTCGCAAAAAGGGGAAGTCTTTCATCCTAATTCGAAATTTCCAATCGTGTGGGAATAAAATGCCTATTGAAATGTTCCTGTGAATATTCACTGCCTGACCATACCTTTAATGATTCGTTCATGCTGGTTTAAAATGACATGAGAGTGAGTGAATTATGACAAAATGTTAAATTTTAGATGAACTATCCCTTTAAGACAATAATTTGAACTCATGTCCTTTTGTCATGAGGCTATATATCTGTTTCTTTACCTTTTTTACTTTGTTTTACTACATGTAAGCTTCTGGTTAGAAGCAGATTAAAGGAATGTGATTCTTGGCTTCATTGGAACATATATTGAATGACATGTTACATTTTACAGAATCAGATTATAAAGAAAAAAAGATGTTTTCTAACATGATGTTTTTCTGCTTGCCCAAGATGACCCAAAGAGACGGCCAGCACCTGTGGAGGATGAAACATTTCAACAAGCCTGTGTACTGCAACGTCTGTCAGAATATGCTTCTGGGGCTGCGCAAACAGGGTCTCTGCTGCACCTGTGAGTGAAATTCTGGGTAATTTACAAGAAAGGTTCACAGATTGCTTTGCAAATGTAATCAATATTTCCAGACTGCCAATCAAATGTTTAATTTTAGCAATTAAGATGCTAAACTTTTCAAGATATATCCCAGAAATCCAGTGTGCTAACTTATATTGTGGTTTATCTACCTAGTAGCTATATAGTTATGCATAACCTTGCAAACCCATATGTTTAGTTCTGATTCAGTTCAGGTGTCACAATCATTTGCTATCATACACAGGCTGCAAATTCACAGTCCATGGCCGGTGTGCAAATAAAAACCCGGCTCCGTGCACCCGCACATATGTGATGTCAAAGAAAGAGACTGGGGTAAGAACACCTTTATTTCTTTTTTTTTAATTAAATTTAAAACCAATACAGATAAATCCCATCCCAGAATTGCATGGCATAATAAGTGTAATAATGTAAAAAGTAATATGCATAAAGCATAAAAAATGCTATTAAATGCTACCTTAAAGGGTTAGTTCACCCAAAAATTAAAATTCTGTCATTAATTACTCACCCTCGTGTTGTTTCAAACCCGTAAGACCTTCGTTCATCTTCGGAATACAGTTTAAGATATTTTTGATGAAATATGAGGGCTCTCTGACCCTCCCATAAACAGCAAGGTAACTACCACGTTCAAGGTCCGGAAAAGTACCAAGATGATCGACAAAGTAGTCCGTGTGACATCAGTGGTTCAACTGTAAAGTTACGAAGCTATGAGAATACTTTTTTGCGCAAAGAAAACACACTTTTCTGGACTGGGTGAACTAACCCTTTAAAACAGCTTTTAATGCTACCTGTATATGTTATATATTCAAGTTAATACATTTACAGAATAAGAATTAAAGAAAAAAAGGAACAAAAATAAATGAAAAGAACATATTTCAATAAGTACATCTTCTTTAAATAGTCTAAAAATAGGCTACATGTATTAAAAAAATATCAGTTTATTTCTTATTGTGCCAGGTTCTGTGATGAGGGTGTCTCACTAAGGACAATTATTCTGTTGTATATCTGACTTGCTGGGCCCAGGGCAGACAGAACCCACTTTAAGCATCTTCTATAAGCTTTTTTCTTTAGTACTGCCATCAAGTGGGCACTGGAAATGTAAATAGCATATGTGCATCTAATTTGTTTGCATGCAGATTGCGGCCCATGACTGGGTGAGTGGAAACTGTGATTCTGGGAAGTGTGACCGGTGTCAGAAGAAGATAAAGAGCTTGCATGGCCTCACTGGGAAACGATGTGTCTGGTGTCACACCATGGTGAGACTAAGAATTTCTGAAAAGCTACAATATACAGTTGCCAAAAATCTTTATATAATAATAATAATAGATTAAAGTGCACTGTACATAGCAGCATTGGGTAAAAAAAGAAATGCACTTAAAAATTACCATTGATAAAATATCACAAATGAAGCAGGTCAATTTTTCAGTTTCACACTGGTTCATAATTTTTCATTACATGATCTTTACTGTCATATTTTAGAGACATGATGAGTGTGCAACCCAGGAACCCTTTGAATGTGATTGTGGCCCTTTCAGAGATCATATCTTACCACCGTGGGCCATTTATCCCATCATCAAGGTAATACAAATTAAAGTCCGCAAATTAAAGACTTAATTCCATGGATTCAAGTCTCAGGATTTGCATCTGTTTGCATCTGCTTATATAGAAGACAAAAGCACAGATTAATTGGATTAATTATATCTTCTGTTCTTTGTTTCCTCACTTAGGAGAGGGCGAACTGCATAAAGAATGGCTGTGCATTTGCAAGTGATGACAGTGAGCACAACACTACACCTGATGGACAGGTACTACAGGTAAGACACGGCCTGGACTGTTTCAGCTTTCCCAGGCAGAGACAAGAGATACTGAATGAAACGAACACAACTTTCTGTACCCAAACAGATAAACCCAATTCCTGACACTCATCCTCTTTTGGTGTTTGTGAATCCTAAAAGTGGCGGTAAACAGGGGGAGAGGTGAGAACACTTCCTTCCATCCATCAGTTGTTGTCTAATTGCCTGTGTGTCTTTGATATGACTATTTTAAATCACAAGTTTTACTCACAAAATGTGCATTCTTACAGAGTCCTTCGGAAATTCCAGTACTTGTTGAATCCTCGGCAGGTTTATAACCTTTCCAATGGTGGACCAGGACCAGGGTAAAGATTTCACTACCATTTCTTCATGTCTTTATTCGTGCCCTGGATCCACTTGACTGAACTTGTGGACAACAAAACTATTAAAAATTGATTATGATTGAAAAAACGCATGGTGTATGATCCACATTTTGCATTTCGTAGATGTGGGTGGTGATATATTGGGTTTAATACTTTAACAGAAGCTTGTAAAAAAAAACAATTTTTTTTTAAAGTGCTTGTAATATATATATGATCGTTTATTTCCAAACCAGGTTATGTTTCTTCAGAGATCTGCCGGACTATAGAATATTAGTTTGTGGAGGTGACGGCACAGTTGGCTGGATCCTTGACGCTATAGGTTGGAAACTAAATCAAACATACATTGTGTGATGCTCAAAGCAAAACCAAAGAGGATATGTATGTTTAGCTCTCATTTCACTTTCAACCAAATGTTCTTTTCAATTCCTCATGAAGATAAAGCCAACCTGCCAATGCGCCCCCCGGTGGCCGTGCTTCCTCTTGGCACAGGAAATGATCTTGCACGCTGTCTTCGATGGGGAGGAGGTGAGGGCAAATGCTGAACTTGAAACTTGAACATGTGCTTGTATGTATATATTTAGTGTTTTTCACTGTTATAATGTTTTAGGTTATGATGGTATGGATCTGGGCCGGATCCTGAAGGACATTGAGGGCAGTTCTGTGGTTCCGATGGATCGCTGGAGCGTACAGGTGACCCTGGAGGACAGTCAGGAGAGAGGTGACCCTGTGCCCTACGAAATCATCAACAACTACTTCTCCATTGGAGTGGTATGACACATTCAGTACTGCATTCATCTGAAATATGACCTCGATTATATTCACAATCCTCTCATTTTCTTTCTGTTTCTCTGCCAATATAATATGTTAATTGAAAAACTTTGCTATTTAACTCCTAGTATATTTATCATTCTCACTGTATTGATTGTTTGTGGAACAGGATGCCTCCATTGCTCACCGCTTCCACACCTTGAGAGAGAAACACCCACAGAAGTTTAACAGCAGGTGGGCATGTTGCACACTAAGACCCCACTAGAGTCCACAGATCTACTCATCAATATGTATTTCTTTAAAAAAAAAATATATATATATATATATATATATATATTCACAAAATCCATCACCTAATTTTTATATTTATGATATAAGACAATAACTCAGTCTTGGCCTTTTATAATTATGTGATGTTTGTAAACGGGGGGGAAAGTCTAATGTTAATTATAATGCACAGCAGAATTCATTTATTAATTTAAATTATTTTTTACACTTAATGAAAACCATTGTAAATGTAGGTTGTTTGTTTGAATGAAATCGAGTGCTTTTCTTAAAAAATAAAAAAAATATTAAATTTTTGCAGATTATTTCCTGGAATTTAATTATTGTTTTTGAATTTAATTATTGGAAGGAAATAAAGATAAATTATAACTGTAAACAAAATATTACTATTATTATTTTTTTATTAAAAATTAATTCAGCATTCAAATTCATTTAAAGTGACAGTAAAAAAATGTACATTGTTTGAATGTTCAAAGATATCATTCAAATAAATGCTGTTTTTTTAATCTTTCTATTTACCAAGAATCCTGCATAAAATATATCACAGTTTCCACACAAGTATAAAGCAGCACAAATGATTTTAACATTGATAATAAAAAGAAATGTTATTAGAGCATCAAATCAGCATATCAGAATGATTTCTGAAGGATCGTGTGACACGAGTGAGTAATGATTAATGGTTGCAGAAAATTCAGCTTTGCATCAAATGAATAAATTATATTTTAAAACATATACAAATAGAAAACAGTTATTTAAAATTGTAATGATATTTCACAATATTACTGTTTTTACTGTATTTTGTGATCAAATATTTGCAGCCTTGGTGAGCATAAGAGACTTCTTTCAAAAACATTTTAAAAATCACACTGACTGCAAACGTTTAACTATAGTGTATATACAGTGGGTACGGAAAGTATTCAGACCCCCTTAAATTTTTCACTCTTTGTTATATTGCAGCCATTTGCTAAAATAATTTAAGTTAAGTTTTGTTGTTGTTGTTTTTGAAAAGCAGTTTGCCTAACATTCGATTTAATTATCAAAAACATAAATCATAAACACCACCAAGAAAATGATCAGCGATCAGTTTGTGGCTTCGTTTTCATGCATATATACTTTCTTACAGAATGAAGAACAAACTGTGGTATTTTGAATTTGCCACGTCCGAGACTATCTCAGCATCTTGTAAAAAACTCAAGGAGTGTCTCACCATTGAGGTAAGAAAAAACACCTTACAAAAAAGGCTCACACTCCCATCTAAGTTCAAAGAGGTTATTGATCATTCCAGCTAGCCTTGCTCCTTCTTCCCTTGTGTTGAAAGCCCATCAAAAGGCATCAGCTTAAAAGCATGAGCACAGCGAGGGCATTAGAGTGCTAACACCTGTTATTAACCTGCTTCTGGTATTAGTCGTCTGTCAGAGCTCAAGCCAGGAACATTTCAATCTACCAGATCAGGGGCATTCATTCAGAATATGAAGCAAAGGCATTTCATTACTTAAAAGTCTGCTTACGCACGTTAGATGTATTCAGCTAGAAATCATTTTAAATATGAAAATTGTAACAGAACTGACCCCAGAGCCTCTGTCTGGCCTTATCCAGTGTTGCGGGACCCAGTTGGATCTCAGTAATCTTTCTCTGGAAGGCATCGCCGTCCTCAACATTCCCAGCATGCACGGCGGCTCTAACCTGTGGGGTGAAGCCAAAAAAAGTGACAGAGCGGAGCAGGACTTGCCTGAAGTCATAGTAGACCCCGAAGTCTTAAAAGTGAGCCCACAAGGTACGTTTTCCTTCAATGCAGGGAGCAACTTTTAATACGAAGATTATCCAAAACACTCAACAGACTGTCTCCAAACAGACATGAGCGACAAACGCGTGGAGGTGGTAGGATTGGAAGGAGCCATCGAGATGGGACAGATATACACAGGGATGAAGAGCGCAGTCCGACTCGCCAAAACATCTCAGATTATCATCAGGTGAGACAAACACTTACCAGCAAATGTTCTTAAACAAGCTCATACAGGCACAAACCAGTCATGACATGCTCAGACATGTCTAGTCTACATGCATTTGCATACTCTCTGTTCGCTTTTTCAAAATCCAAATATTTAAATTACATTCCATTAATTCTTTTGTCATTAAATGGGGGTGGTCCATTTATTCTGTAACACTCTGTCAACCACTATTGAGTCATATAATGTGAATGTGTGCTTAGTCAGTCACCCAAGCAATTGCCCATTATATGATTCACTGGTTATTTTTGTTTCTAAAAATTTACCTAATTGTTTTATTCAAAAACGTACCCTCATTTATAGGACAAATAAGCCTTTGCCCATGCAGATTGATGGAGAACCGTGGATGCAGCCACCTTGTACCGTAAGTGTCCACCATACTGCATTTCTAAGCATTTTACTTTGATTCATCCAGGTGACTCTTTTGAATCTATTCACTTAAAAGATTCAGATTTATACACTGATTTGTTTAGTGGCCCTTTCTGCTGGTTACACTGTAGTAGTAATAAGCGAAAATCTTTTTGTGTGTTGTGAGTGAATCATTTGATTCATTCATTCATTCACGCAACTCAACCAAGTCAAGTCTTGTTACACTTTGTGTCTACAAATCTACTAATAAACTCTATAAACAGTGTTTAGATACCATAAGTGTTGTTTCTAAATAATTTAAAAAAATAATAATTGTATCACCTAATTATTAGTGAATGATAAGGATTTGTTAAAAAAAATACATTTAAAATGTCATCCAAGATGTAGATTTTGTTTCTTCATCGGAACAGATTTGGAGAAATTTAGCATTACTGGTGTGAATGGGTGCCATCAGAATGAGAGTCCACACAGATAAAAACAATTCTACATTTTTTCAAATCTGTTTCAAAACAAACACATCTACATCTTGGATGGCCTGAGGATGAGTCCGTTTTCATGTACAATTTTTTAGTGAACAATTCCTTTTATTTCAGTTTAAACTAATAGAAACATGTCCGCATTAAATGAGATTTAATTTAATGTGTTGTTTTATCTGTTTGTTTGTTTTTTATTCTTCCTCAGATTCACATCACACACAAAAACCAAGCCAGTATGCTGATGGGCCCTCAAGCCAAATCTGGCTTTTTCAACCTGAAATAGAGTTTACCTGCGCTTGAGGATGTTTCACTTCGCTTCGAAACTCTGTGTGCATTAACAAGGACTCTGAAGCTAATAACAGTGTAAAGTGTATGTAGATTTTGCAGAAAATCCTTAATAAGGTTATAGCTCTTACTCAAAATCCTTGTGTGTTTTTAGGAGATTATCCTTACATGAGGTACAAACTCTTCGCTAGACCATCTTAACATCAAATATGCTCTCCTTAAAGAAATGTAGCGCTCTTAAACAGTAGCTCATGCATTTTTGGCTGTGATAAAAAACGCATATCATGTGCACAGGTCATTCCAGGTAAATAGGTTGGATATTTGTTTTAAGGTTATGTAGATATACATAAAAATATGCATCACTCCAAAGCATCTAGTGTATGAATCAAGGTTTGATGCACAGTGACTTTGCTGTATAGGTGGTTTAAATATTAGAGATAGATCTTCGCTAACTCTGCACACTGCTTTTAGTTATTCCTTTAGATTTTTTCTCAGCTACTTTCACTAATTTACTAATCATGAATGTCAGATTACTCCAGGCTAAACAATCTTTACCAGAACAATGACTAGCTTTAGCAAATTAAAATCTGAAGAGCTTTATGAGACATCTAATTTATTTGCTGTTAAAATGTAAACACCTAAAATAGTAGGTGTAATGTTTAGATAAAATATCGAAATGAGACCAACAGTATGTTAACAATTGTTATTAGGTTATTTTCATTGTATTAAGAATGTATCAAGTCAGTTGTGTAAAACTGATTTTGCAACATTTCATACATTTACACAGTTAGCAGTCCATCTATTGTGTTTCCTTCAGAAAGCTCAATGGGCAAAATCCTAAAGGTTTTAGATTGCACATTTATGGCACTCTGGCAGGCTTTTTAAATTTACGTTGCTCCTGAGAATGTAGAGGATCTCTTAATTTTGTGAATTTGTCTGAATAAACATTTCAATGTTAAATGATTTGCAGTGTATCTCTTTGTTTTGATAAAGGTTTCTTAATGCCATAATTTGCCTCAACACTCAGAAGGTGTTTACAGCATAAAAGCACTAGAGGGCTCTATCAGTTTGACTAATTTTACACGAGCCTGCTCAGCAATAGAGTTCAAGTTTCATTTTCTCGTATACCATTTCTAGGTTACTGAAAGCAAGTATTTATTTAGTTAGTATATCGTAATTCTTTTTTTATATACTTTCTTTCAAACTCGCATGTGATAACTCATGATAACCCAAATGTTAGTCATTAATAATGCATATCAATATTAAAATGAGCTCCATTTTTTTTTTACCTAAAATGTTGCTACAGTTGCATCGGTATGTGAGGATAGTGGCCTAATTCTTTATTATGTCTGATTTAATCTCAAGGTTCAGTGTACTTTCACCATGACATAAGCTAACGATGTCTTGATTCTGATTCGTGGATGAATTGTTCTTTAGAGCCGAATCTGTTCAAAGAGTCGGTTCACAAAACGACAACGTGGTTTCATTGAGTCAGTGAACCACTGAATGGTGTGGCTAAAAGTTACTTTCATATCCAAACCTGTTTTTATACAGTCTATGATCCTAACACTAGAAATATAACGAATGTACCTGAAATATGTTTATTCAAGTTTGATCAACTCGCATACAAAATCTCTGCAAAATCTCTGCAACAATCCAAAAAAGAGAAACTAAATAAAGTTCAGGATTGACTAATATTAATGCAAATTATAATTAGCTTAAATACTACTACTACTACTAATAATAATAATACATTATTACAAACGTACATCGTGACGTGTTACAGTCTATGGTTAAGAATCTCTTTTCGAAACCGTTTATTAACGAACTGTTCTAAAGAACCGATTCGCTGAAATGAGTCAATCTTGCCCTCACTGGTACAAACATTGTTGACCATGGCAGTCGAACACATAAAACTATAGCATTAGTACTTTTTGTAAGTAACCATTGATAATAGTGTCTACTAAATAATGCTATGTATAATCCTGTAACACAGTTTCAGTGGTCTTCAATGTTGGGTCGTGCCAAAACATCGCTTCTGTGCATGACGACCAATCGCATCGCGCCAATTGTGTGGCCCCGCCCCCTTTTCAAGTATTTCCTTCACATGTGCGTTTCTAACGCGACGAGTCTGTCCGCAGATGCTGCTGCTGAAACTGAGCTAGAGCTGGCAGATTACTCCAGGCTAAACAATCTTTACCAGAACAATGACTAGCTTTAGCAAATTAAAATCTGAAGAGCTTTATGAGACATCTAATTTATTTGCTGTTAAAATGTAAACACCTAAAATAGTAGGTGTAATGTTTAGATAAAATATCGAAATGAGACCAACAGTATGTTAACAATTGTTATTAGGTTATTTTCATTGTATTAAGAATGTATCAAGTCAGTTGTGTAAAACTGATTTTGCAACATTTCATACATTTACACAGTTAGCAGTCCATCTATTGTGTTTCCTTCAGAAAGCTCAATGGGCAAAATCCTAAAGGTTTTAGATTGCAAATTTATGGCACTCTGGCAGGCTTTTTAAATTTACGTTGCTCCTGAGAATGTAGAGGATCTCTTAATTTTGTGAATTTGTCTGAATAAACATTTCAATGTTAAATGATTTGCAGTGTATCTCTTTGTTTTGATAAAGGTTTCTTAATGCCATAATTTGCCTCAACACTCAGAAGGTGTTTACAGCATAAAAGCACTAGAGGGCTCTATCAGTTTGACTAATTTTACACGAGCCTGCTCAGCAATAGAGTTCAAGTTTCATTTTCTCGTATACCATTTCTAGGTTACTGAAAGCAAGTATTTATTTAGTTAGTATATCGTAATTCTTTTTTTATATACTTTCTTTCAAACTCGCATGTGATAACTCATGATAACCCAAATGTTAGTCATTAATAATGCATATCAATATTAAAATGAGCTCCATTTTTTTTTTTACCTAAAATGTTGCTACAGTTGCATCGGTATGTGAGGATAGTGGCCTAATTCTTTATTATGTCTGATTTAATCTCAAGGTTCAGTGTACTTTCACCATGACCTAAGCTAACGATGTCTGATTCTGATTCGTGGATGAATTGTTCTTTAGAGCCGAATCTGTTCAAAGAGTCGGTTCACAAAACGACAACGTGGTTTCATTGAGTCAGTGAACCACTGAATGGTGTGGCTAAAAGTTACTTTCATATCCAAACCTGTTTTTATACAGTCTATGATCCTAACACTAGAAATATAACGAATGTACCTGAAATATGTTTATTCAAGTTTGATCAACTCGCATACAAAATCTCTGCAACAATCCAAAAAAGAGAAACTAAATAAAGTTCAGGATTGACTAATATTAATGCAAATTATAATTAGCTTAAATACTACTACTACTAATAATAATAATAATACATTATTACAAACGTACATCGTGACGTGTTACAGTCTATGGTTAAGAATCTCTTTTCGAAACCGTTTATTAACGAACTGTTCTAAAGAACCGATTCGCTGAAATGAGTCAATCTTGCCCTCACTGGTACAAACATTGTTGACCATGGCAGTCGAACACATAAAACTATAGCATTAGTACTTTTTGTAAGTAACCATTGATAATAGTGTCTACTAAATAATGCTATGTATAATCCTGTAACACAGTTTCAGTGGTCTTCAATGTTGGGTCGTGCCAAAACATCGCTTCTGTGCATGACGACCAATCGCATCGCGCCAATTGTGTGGCCCCGCCCCCTTTTCAAGTATTTCCTTCACATGTGCGTTTCTAACGCGACGAGTCTGTCCGCAGATGCTGCTGCTGAAACTGAGCTAGAGCTGGGGATTATTGCACAAGTCAGAGTGCTGGCTGGCGGCGAGTGGGTGGCTTTTCACCCACACTCAGTACTTTTCATCTCTCGCTCTTCTTTCATATACTGTTGCTTTACTTTCACCATGACATAAGCTAACGATGTCTTGATTCTGATTCGTGGATGAATTGTTCTTTAGAGCCGAATCTGTTCAAAGAGTCGGTTCACAAAACGACAACGTGGTTTCATTGAGTCAGTGAACCACTGAATGGTGTGGCTAAAAGTTACTTTCATATCCAAACCTGTTTTTATACAGTCTATGATCCTAACACTAGAAATATAACGAATGTACCTGAAATATGTTTATTCAAGTTTGATCAACTCGCATACAAAATCTCTGCAAAATCTCTGCAACAATCCAAAAAAGAGAAACTAAATAAAGTTCAGGATTGACTAATATTAATGCAAATTATAATTAGCTTAAATACTACTACTACTACTAATAATAATAATACATTATTACAAACGTACATCGTGACGTGTTACAGTCTATGGTTAAGAATCTCTTTTCGAAACCGTTTATTAACGAACTGTTCTAAAGAACCGATTCGCTGAAATGAGTCAATCTTGCCCTCACTGGTACAAACATTGTTGACCATGGCAGTCGAACACATAAAACTATAGCATTAGTACTTTTTGTAAGTAACCATTGATAATAGTGTCTACTAAATAATGCTATGTATAATCCTGTAACACAGTTTCAGTGGTCTTCAATGTTGGGTCGTGCCAAAACATCGCTTCTGTGCATGACGACCAATCGCATCGCGCCAATTGTGTGGCCCCGCCCCCTTTTCAAGTATTTCCTTCACATGTGCGTTTCTAACGCGACGAGTCTGTCCGCAGATGCTGCTGCTGAAACTGAGCTAGAGCTGGGGATTATTGCACAAGTCAGAGTGCTGGCTAGCGGCGAGTGGGTGGCTTTTCACCCACACTCAGTACTTTTCATCTCTCGCTCTTCTTTCATATACTGTTGCTTTCTTATTGAGTGACACGCGGACTATGAAAAATATGACTTTCCGACGCGTAAAGAAGCTGAACTCAAACAAGCCGGACAGCGGGTCGCTGTGTCACGACAGTGGGGAGATCTACTTTACGTCTTCCAAATCGGACAGCTGTGGGACTGTGGATCGTGGACCCTCAAACTCCACTGAGGTTTATAATTATAAGACCCTCGCTTACTCTGGAGGGACCCTACCAAGGAACTTCAAAAAGGTTAGAGCATTTCATTTGAAACTCGAGATCGAGTTTGCTGTATTAACGTTACCATGGCGAAATATTAATACATTTAGTTATACATTTTCAGTACATGTGATAATATTGATCTACTTTTGATTCCCATCTGGAGAAAAAGAAAAAGTTAAAGTCCAGCCAAAGATAATTTACTGGTCAACCAACCCATGATCAAAAAGGTGTTTAGGATAGTTTTAAATGCACTTTTCAGATAGTCAGGTTGGGAGACCATCTAAAACCAGATAAGACCAACAAACCATCCTAGGCTGTTTTTAGAGCAATATTGGCAAGTTATCACTATAGCCGGATGTTGAGTGCACATGCTTATTTAGAAAATCCTGATCCTGAATAATCATATACCATCTTAAACTGGTGTTAGCTGGTCTCCCAAACCATGGGAGACCAGCTAAGACCAGCAAACCAGTTTTTTCTTCAGCAAGGTTGAGCTGTAGTTTCCGCAGCGTGTTACCAAGTTAAAATTGAACTCTCACTTCATCACATATACTAATATCAGCTACTGGAGTCAAAGCTTTAGAAGTTATATTACACGTTTACCTCCTTTATATCTGCCCTCTATGCATCAACATCTTGAATAAATTGTTTGGGGTTGTCTGGTCTTAATTAAGCACAGAAATAACAGTCCTGTGATGAGTTTGCTTTAATTAGAACCAGCAGTTGCATGCAACACTCAAGTTTGATTAGTTTGATGGCACACAAGTTGAGCTCCACCTCTCTTAATAACTTTTATATGCCACCATTATTGGATGTAACTTTATAAGAGAGTGTTTCTCAAACCTGGTCTTGGAGTAGCCTTGAACTGGACATTTTGGATGTTTCTCTTATTAACACACCTGATCCACATCATCAGCTCATTGTTTGATGTTCTG